GCCATTTCTGGTGTGCTGAGAGTGACTTTCATTATCTTCGGGCCATTACCGCGGTAGTTTAGTGAAAAGGTAAGACGACTGATTGATGTGGTAAAAACACCTTGGCAGTTTATCAGGTCTTTTATGAAACACCACTCCTCATAGTATTAAACCAGAATGCGTAAAAAGATGTTTGAAATTTTAGATTGTGTATTCCATGTATCGACAACAGAATTCCGCTTTTTTACCTTCCAAAAAGTAGGCCCAATCCTTATCCACCTTGAACTTTCTTATTTATCTTGTACGCGCTGTGGACACGGTTGCGATCATCGGAGCGGTACGATGATGATGATGATGATGACACTATCCACCTGACCACTGCCGAACAGATGATAAGACTTCCACTTTGTGCATACACGATACAGAACAGCCAGTTAAGTGTAAAAAGAAAGAAAACCATCATGATGGAGAGCAACTCACAGTGGTTTGGGTTCATTTTTCGACCCCAAAGTGCCGCTTTTCACCTGTTGTGTGACAACGCGATCAAACGCTGATGAACGATCTCGACTCAGTCGATCGGCAACGGACGGAGAAGATGTTGCTCCGGTTATGGTACCGGCAGAGCCATTTGGCTCGACAGCATGATCAGTGAACTCGCCCGATTGCGAACCTGTGACTCCTTTCTGTTCACATCTGAACATACGAAGACGGATGCGTAGAAAACGATGACGCTCCGCCCGCTCATCCACTCGATCCCGAACAACTGGATGCATCAGCAGTTGATCGACCAGACAGTTGAGCAAGATGAGTTTCTCATCCACAGAAAGATCGTACACAGAAACTACAATCGATGAAAATGCCAAAACAATGTCGTTCAGTCGTTTGTGTCAATGATAGAAGACTAAGCTGGCTGGAATGCAGGCATCAAACTCCCGTAAATAAGATTGAACCTACGGCACACGTGTGCTCCTAATCGAAACTCGGAAATATGCTTATGACGGTTAACCTAAGAAATTGGATAGGAACTTGATTGAAATGCTTTTACTATTTTGTCCCTCAGTTACTAATCAGCTGAATCTGGAGGTACAAATCCAATAGCCTTACTCGCAAACATCAGATATTATTCCAGATTCGTTGTTAATTATGGATCGGATTATATAAGCAAATTAAACGGCATACTAAGTGATGCTAGGAAATTTCACATCGTTTTGAGAAAGAGAAAGATAACTGCCGAAAACGGCCTGGTATCTAAAACAGATGAGTGTAATGGATACTATCACATTTGGACAAATCCGACAAACTGGAAGGACAACACGAGTACTCCCTGGCTCAAAGATGAATTCGGAGTACCACTCAAAGCGATCCTAAATATGGGTAACTCTTATTAACATACCCTAGTCAAGTGGTTAGTAGCGATCCTAGAACCCGATAGAACACGAGTTCCCCACTGGGGATTTTTAATAAACTGATCTCCAGAATTAAAAACTCAAAAGTGAACCATCAATAAATTGATCGTCTCAACCCTAGTGAAGTTAAGCCAAGCAGCCATCGAGCTGAGAGGATTAGGAGTTGTACCTTCGTAACAGTGGACGTGATCAGAATCCTCCCATATAATTATCACACATCCCATTGTTCCTAAAATCAACTCACAAGAACTTTAAATCTTCTGTGACCATCTTCACACGATGAGAGTCTAGAATGCGAGTCTCGTGAATACAAAACATTGCTGGTCGGGGTCTCCAGCGTACGAGATAAACATGACTGGGGTACTATACGCATCAGAGTATGCACAATAAACGTGGCTAGTTTGAAGGGATATCGAGGACAAAGAAGGGCTTCGGTTGGTGGAGAACTCCGTGGAACTTGGACAATAGTCGAGGTGGGACGCAAGAACAGCGGCAGAACTGCTGTCCGAGGTACTACTGTTAGTACGAGCACTGGAAGAACCCGATAAAGGTGGAGACGTGTGAAGGGTTGGACGTAAAATAGGGGAAGTTCGCGAAACTTGAGGGTATGTACGGTGTAAAAGATTTTTCGCGGACTGAATAAGCTTTAGAGTCCAGATTTTTAGGAGCACGAGAGATCAGAGTTGTTGTACTGCCCGGTTAAAGGATACACTTGATCTTTTAAGCAATCAAGCACGGACCGCAAGGCAATAACGATGTTCCAGATGGGCCGGTGGCTAGCTTTTGGTTCATGCGCCCTTACTGGAAAACCTTGTCAAACAATGGATCTCGACACACGATACAGTTATCCTCCCCTCACCCTTCGACTCCCCCTCCCCCCCCCCTTAAGAATCAT